AAAACCGTGCCATTCCCTCCATTCCCAATTAATTCATCCTTCCTCTATGGAAAAATCGTTTACCAGCTGAGTTTTAGCTGCTACCTCCGAAACCAGTATCATATCGTTCACCGAAGTGGCTAATCAAATTCAGGAAATTCGACTAGATCGTGGACAAATCGCGACCGTGGTCAAAGGCAATGAAGTTTGTGAGTTGCCTGAGGAAATAAAACAGTTACGGCTTCAAATAATTGAATTTCCTGCTCCCAAGTGAGAAGTAGAAGCCGAGGAAAAAGTACAACAAAGCCCCCTAAAACAAATATTAATGGGCTATGTTGGTACCACCAAACATTCCAAGAAAAGGCGACGAAATGTCGTGCTCCCTGTTCTTGGAATTCGGGAAATGAGTAGAGTCGTCCGTAGATGCGATACTCGACGACGGCTGAAGTTCACGCCGCATTTTAGTAACGGACAAAATTTCGAAAGTCTGTTTTCTGATCGACACTGGCGCCGATTTGTGTGTTCCCGCGCAACCGACTACGAGGGCCCTTCAAACGCTGCGAGTATGAATTTTTCGCGGCAAATGCGACCGTCAAAAAGACCGTGGTCATCACAACTGCACGTAGTCCCTAAGAAGGACGGCAGTTTATGACCCTGCGGTGATTACTCTAAGCTGAATGCTCGTACTGTCCCCGATCGGTATTCCTCACCCCACATCGAATATTTTGCCCAACATCTACTTACATGGAAAAAAGTTATTTTCGAAAATTAATTTGGTGCCTGCATACGATCAAATACCTGTGGCACCAGAAGATGTCGAAAAAACCGCGATTACAACATCCTTCGACCTGTTTGAAGAAGTAAACGCTATGTTCGGTTTGAGAAATGCCGCTCAACGTGCCAAAGACTTTTCAACGAAATAACCTGTTGTTTAGAGTTTATTTTCGCTTTCATCGATGACTTTCTTATAGCGAGAGAAAACTAGGAACAGCACATCCAGTATTTAACCACGTTATTCAAACTGTGTGAGAGACTGCATCATTGAAATAGTTTTGTTCTTTAGGAATTGTTATTCTAAAGTATTGGAATGAGTCACAACCAGACTTGTTGTCGAATGTTTATAGTAACTGATATCACATGTTAGCCATGTACTTAATAAATTAGTCTTAATAATAGACCGAAAGAATTCATTCTCACAGATTGTCGCAAATAGTACACAAGTAATTTTTTCTTCGTTTTCAGAATTCAGAAATTTGTTTTTGCACAATTTTTATATAACTTCGAACCTCCGTGATCGGTGTAAGTAAGTGTTTACATACAGACGCGAAACAAACGACTAAGCGAATATGGAGTTATGGTGAATTCGGCAAAATGTATTTTCGGAGTGAGTGAAATCGAGTTTTCAGAGTATTCCGTAAACGACAAAGGAATAAGACAATTAACAAACCGAGTCGACGCAATTAACAAATTTCCGAAACCTTCGACTGTCAAACACCTTCGTACATTTCTTGGAATGGTTAATTTCTACCGAAGATTTATACCTGATGCTGCAAATTTACTATCACCTTTAAACGCCTTAAAAGGTTCGAGAAAAGGCAATACCCCATAAACAGAATCGATGAAGCCGATATTGCTTTTAGCAAAACGACAACCGCCCTTGCAAATGCGACGATGTTAGTGTACCCTGTGCCTGGCGAGCCGATCAGCATTTCCGTCGATGTATCAGATTTATTCATTTGGGGCAGTTCTTCAGCAATTCGCTGATAACACGTGGCAACTGCTCAGTTTATTTAAAAAATCATTGTTCGAACTGCAGCGAAAGTACAGTGCATACGACCGTGAACTTCTTGGAATATACAGTGCAGTAAAATGTTTTCGATACGCGGTCGAAGGACAAAATTTCGTGGTATTCATGGACCATAAGCCCCTGGTGTACGCGTTTAACCAGAGCTTGGATAATGTTCACCCCGTCAATTTTGGTACCTTGATTTCATCTCCCAATTTACAATAGATATTCGTCATATCAAAGGCTCAGAAAACAACGTTGCCGACGCATTATCTCGTATCGAGGCGGTGTCGCAAGCAGTCGGTCACTAAACGCTAGAAGCTGTTCAAAAAGAAGACCTCGAGCTTAAGGAACACCTCCACACCGCTACTGCAAGTAGTAATTTAAAAATCAGAAATCTATGAACAAGGATTGCCTCAATTGGACAAACCAGTGCATGTAGTGGCAACGGTGCAAAATCACAAAACAATTTTCTGCACCCATCGCAAATTTCTCTGATTATCACCATGCAATACTCGCAAGGATATCGCAAGGATATCACTATTGTTTGAGGTGTATTGGAAGTTTTTCCCGATGGCCTGAGGTTATTCCACTACCGGACATGGAAGCTTCCACCGTAGCAAAAACTTTTCTGTCAGCAAAGGATTTCAAGGGCGCCAATTCGAATCATCCTCAAGCAAATGGCATGGTGGAATGGTTACACCGTCAACTTAAGGCAGCAATCAAATGCCACGAGTCGTCTAATTGGTTAGATGTATTACCTCGCGATTTCCATCTTTTTTTCGATCTTTTTGGATCTCATCAGCGCGTCGTAGGTAGCTCCGACAGAACACAGGCCAACCTTTACCTGCTGTCTTAACAGCGCGTTTTAAAAAATACCACAAATGGCGTGGTGAACGCCATCTGTAGTACGATGCTACATTTTAGGATTACGTATGCTCCAACAAGGTTCATTTAAAAATATGGATATCTACATGCTGAAACGAATCCCGGCGTAGCTGACCTCAACGTGATAGGCACGTTACCATAATCGAATAAAATAATCCGAAGAGATTCGAAATCGATCCGCGTCTGGTAGTTTCGACAGAATACAGACCACTTCGAATTATTTTATATTATGTATTATATATCACGTTGAGGTTGAGGTCAGCTACGCCGGGATTCGTTTCAGCATGTAGATATCCATATTTTTAAATGGACCTTGTTAGAGCATACGTAATCCTAAAATGTAGCATCGTACTACAGATGGCGTTCACCACGCCATTTGTGGTATTTTCTTACTACTAGAAATTCTTAATTCAGCAATTAAGGAAGACCTAAACGCAACTCCCGCGGAAATGGTATATGGCATATATGGAATACCACTGCCAGGTGAATTTTTCCAAAATAGCGACTGCCTACTAAACTCCGATTTCGTCGTTCGATTGAAGGAACGAGTTAACAACCTGGAACCAACCCGCGTTTCGAGACATGGTAAAAAGAAAACCTACGTCTTCAAGGAACTGTCCTCGTCTCCGTTCGTTTTCTTTCGTCATGACGCTGCGAAGAACTTGAATCAACCGCCATACGACGGACCCTATGAAGTAATTGAACGAACCGACAAAACTTTTGTTATTAAAATAAAATATCGATTACTATCCGACGAACATGACAATTATTTCCTCTGTCTGTGCCTGCTAATCGCGAAGTGCGAACTGATAGTGACAATCGCTTTACGCAAAAACAATTTACTTCTCGTTCCGGAACAACAATAAAATTCCCCGAACATTTTCAGGCGGGATTGAATTGAGTTAAGGTTAAGCTGTAAATATTAGAAATAAGTTTGTAAATATTAGCAATAAGACATTTAACCTAAATATGTCACTATAAAACAATTATCTTTGTAAATATAATTATGGTAGCGTTATCATTGGTAAAGAGGGTGATGTAGCGGTAAAATGTAAAATTCTACAAAAGGCAACCGCTTTGCTTCGCATTGACAAAAACCAGCGAAAGGGTCCAACCCTAACGGTAAACTTTTATGGTTTTACGATAAGCATCGCGGTTGCTATGCCTGCGAAAGCTTTATACAAGAAAAGAGAGATATTCGGTCTTGATATTTTAGTTTGGTTGGTTATTTTTGGTAGAAATTTTTCCTAATTATTAAATTATTAAAAGCCGATTAGAGTTTTATTTAATATATCCGATTCTTATAACCACTATATTTGTCGTTTTTATATTTTTAATAGTTTAATTAACAAAAATTCCGCCGATAATAATATTTTTACCATTTCAAACAAAACAAAATGACGATTACTATTGGTAAGAATAATTACATAAATAAAACGTTAAAATTTTTGCACCTAATATATCAAATTCGAATCCAACCCGATGGTATGTCAATTACTAAAAGTGTCATTAAAAATTTGTGGACGTATTTTTAAAGAATCAGTAGGTATAAATTAGTTTTAATCAACGCTCATTCTCTAAAACCCTACAAAAATAACCATCAATTCTTTCAGGTGGTGATTTCTTCTTTATTATCTTTCATTGTTTGAAAATATCTTACAGTTGCAATAATATACTGTTTATATAGAATTTAATCCAACACATAGCAACAAAAAATTCGTGGTGAACGCCATCTGCCACTAATTGTGAGTTCATTAATGTTTGACAAGGTCTTTTTCGATTTAAGGATATCGACTGTCAAGCGATGTCAATTATAACTGTACATTACGGAGCATGTGAAGAATATGTTAAAACTGAAAAATGACCATCGACAGGCTTTAGAACAAAGCTTTATCTACCTTACTACAACATTTCAAACCTCTATTTCAAATATTAAAATCATGATATCTAGAACCGATAAGCATGTTTTTACTCTACGACTGGTGTACTACTGAAACCCCTTAACACACCGCGTTTTATAAAATCCTACAAATGATGCGACAAAATACTGACCGCTTCGAATTTCTTTTTTCGATGTTGGTAAGTAGATATCATCCATTTATATAAATGCACCTTGTTGATCATATTGAATCCCACTAAATGTAGCATTGTACTACAGATGGCGATTACCGCGCCATTTGTAGGATTTCGGAATACATCTACTTTAGTTGTTTTCATAAACATTTTCAAAGAGGTATTGGTACTTATCTATTCAAGAATCGCACGTGATTTATTAAAATTATAAACCATACAATCAAAGTTGTATATAATGCTTTTATATTAAAAATTTAATTATATTTCTTTTCAGATGCTTACCTTGCCCGTCTCATTGTGGCCTTTGTGAAACACCTGGAATATGTATGACGAAAAGAGACCCAAATTTACGAACGGCCCTTTTGGGTTTGCAAGCAGCATGTATGGGCATAACAATCATCCTTGGTTTTATTGTCTTTCGACAGAGAAAATCAAAGGTAATGCCTTAACTTCACTTTTTAATAAACGTTAAAATAGGCAGGGATTCATTTTAAAAGTCGTAAGAGTCGTAACGGGTGATAGTAGACAAAATTTGAAATGTTCATTTTACTTTTTAGCGAAAATTAAATCGTCTATAGTTCAAAATTTACAAAAAAGTTCAAGTACAGTTGGAACAAAAAATATTAAAAATTTCATAGAAATTCTTCTGACAGACGGCAGATACACGTACCGGTAGTTTATACAGTTCCGCTGCGTCTAGGTACAGGGTGGGCAAATTTTGATGTGTGTAAAGGACAACTTGGTAATTGTATAACAGATACAAAAAAAATTTCACCTTTTTCATCTCTAATTTTGGTGTATACAAAACCAATGACGTAGCGTCAATTTCAGCCACCCAAAGTTAAACCTGCCGCATTTCCTTTTCTCACAACAATGAAAACCTTTTATTTAAATTAGTCGGGATTAATTACATTTTTGATTTAGTCTCTGAGGAGATAAGTAGTATTTATAATGATAAATAATTTTTTCAAGAAATCCTCTACTTTTTCCAGTTTTTATGTTTAAACAAAAAAACGAATGTTATAAATTTTTCATCAGATCGTGTCATGCTTAATCTCCAACTTATCAAACAATGGTACTCAGATCTTCAAATTTCAAAATATGTCTAAAACTACGACTTAGATTTTACGGACCTATTACAAAAACTGAGAAGTTAATAAATTTCAGCAGTTGTTCTATCCGGAACCTCCATGTGGGTAAAACTCGAGTCCCATTACAAGGTCGTCAGTCTTAAGACTGGTTGCACATGCACCCCCACCTCTTTCTAATATTTCTCTAAAACTAGAACATCCCATATCCTTGACTATTTGCGAACAGTAATCTAATCTAGGTCTACCTCTACAGCTCTTAACTCCTATTTCTGCCTTTAAAATGTCTCTGACTAGACCTTCATGGCTGAGAAGGTGTCCTACCAACCTATTTCGTCTATTTTTTATTGATTTCCATAGGGTTCTCTATTCACCTGTTCCTTTTAATACCTCTTCATTTCTAACCTTCTCTATCCACGGTAACCATATTTCGAATGCTTCTAACCTTTTCTTTACCGCTGCGCTCACCGTCCATGTTTCGCACCCGTACAGTGCCGCGCACCAAACATACACCTTTAACAATCTTTCTCGAATTTTTAAATTAATCCTTCGCAAGCATTGAAGTGATTTCTTTTTGTTGAAGGCGACTCCACCCTGTGCTATTTTCTACTTTATATTCTTTTAATCTTTCGCCCCCTATCATTAAATTCGCTCATTCCCTACTTTTTCTTCCCTTGCATACCAGTATTTTTGTTTTACTTTTAGTTATTTTCATACAATACTGTTTTGTCAATACCGCTTTCATTTTATTTAAAGCTATGTCTAACTCCTCCTTAATAGATACTAATATTGCTATGTCACTGCAAATTTAAGCATACTGATCTTTTGTCCTATATCTATCCCTGCAGTTGTACTGTCTTTAATGATGTTGATTGCGTCTTCGATGTATAGAGTAAAAGGTAGCGGTGACAGTGTGCACTTGTCTATGTTGCTGCTCCAGCTTTATAATTGCCTATTCCTCTTTATACAAACTAAGAATCACTGTTCTATGTTTGTAACTCATCTCTACATTTGTAAGTATATTTAACAACTTATTCCATTTAACATTGTCAAAAGCTTTTTCTAAATTTACGAATCCTATGTAGGCATTCTTTTCTTTTTCTATCGTTTTCTCTATTGTTACCCGTAAAGCTAGAATGACCTCCCGCGTTCCTCTGTTTCTTCTAAACCCAAACTGACCTAATCTAATACTTCTTCCGCCTTTTTTCTCATCCTTCTCTGTACAATTCTAATTAAAGTTTTTGACGCATGGGAAGTTAAGCTAATTATTCTAAATGTCGCGCGCCTCTTGTTTTAGGTATGGTTACTACCAGGCTCCGTTTATAACCCTCCGGGACTTTACCCACCTCGTGAATGTGACTAACTAGCTTAAAGATATTAACCTCTTATCCTCCATGTTTTAAAAGTTTGCGCCTGAATCTCATCTATACCTGGCGCCTTATTATTCATATTTTAATACCACTTTGAACTGTTCTCTCATTATGAGATAACCTAGTTTATCTATCTCTACACTATCTTCCTTTTGTAATATATCTCCTAACTCTAACTCATGATCTACGTATAGGTTCAGTATTCTTTCTATCTGTCTACCTTTTTTTTATCAGAATGGCTCCTCCCGCGTTTCTTATATTATTACTATTGTTTCCTAATTCTCTAAAATTTCTTTTAATTCTGAATTTTTGGAGGGTTAAATTCTATACATTAGTGAATTAATTTTCTGAATTAACTTGAGTCACTTCCTCGTAGCTTACTGGTAGAGTACTGGTGCGTGGAATCAGGGTTGGATTCCCGTCGAGGAAGTGACATCAGTAATAATTTTTCCTCATTAATTTGAGGTTATCTATAAAGTAAAGTTGATTCAAATTAGCTAAATGCTGAAATTTCGAGTTTTTGTTGCATGTTCATAGGTATACCTCGATTGTTTGGTAAATTAGGAAAACACAACGATAATATCATGCTATTTGGGCACTTTTCGGCATAGAATTCAATAGCGTCGGAAAAATTAAAAAGAAATTAATGCATTTTCGGCTTGTAACATCTAATCTGTGGTTCTGAATACTATTTTGTTTGTTTTATTCTCTTAGGCAATTGCTTCCGGCATGTGGACGGTATTGGAAACAATATTACTGGGAATCTTTCTGCTTTATTCAACGGTAAGTGTCTTTTATTTCATATGTGTTAAGTCCTAAGTTTTTCTCTTTTTTTGTACATGAAATAATTTTAATTTAAATTCATATATGCAATTTTAAATAGTGTCTAAGTTAGTGACAACAAGACCAATTTACATTTTACCTGGGTATTCATAGAACCCTTATAAACTGGAAAGAAATGTTGTATGACGATTGTGCTCATATTTAATGATAGGGCTTTCCATATTCTGTGTTATATTATATTCAATTTCTAGTTATTCGCCCCCGCTACAATAATATTCACCAGTTTACCTGTTCATAGTTAGTGTTCATAGTACATTAAGAATCAGACATTCACATTTCATCTCTCAATCAAGTAAGTTTTGCATCCAGTAACCAACCAAAATAGTTTTCTTTGTTGGACGAATTTTGATAGTTTTAATTTAGACGTTGAAGTTTAGTTTTTATTGATTAGAATAGAAGTTCGATTAAATGTTTTAAATAAAACAGTGAATTTTTATTCTTCAACGAAATCATCGATCCGATTTAATTAGTTGCACAATATTAATTTGGCGTGCAACGTACAACGTTTGTACAATATGTTTAAATACGTAAATGTTCTTTATTTTTAATATAATTTGGAGTTCATAGGTATATATTTGTTAAGGCTCGTTTGATATAAATTGGTTGGGTTTTACATTATACGTACGTGTATGTAAATGCAAATGCAAATACATGACACACAAATTTCAACTCGACAAAACTTTAGGGATTTGGAAACCGTACACGTCGAAGGTATTAGTTACATAAAAATCGTGATGAAGATGTCACCTATTGATTCATTTGTACCGTCTCCTCTTTAATTACAATGTATGTATAGTAAGACCATAATATCATATCAATTGGAAATGGTGCAAATTTCAGTTTCTGAACGCGGAAAACCACTGTAATTTATTGCATTAGTGCTAATGTACAAACCAAAATTACGTATTCGCTTGATTGTAACCGTGCAAGGTACAATGGATACTTTGAGCAGATATTATTTCATCAACATCATCATAACAAAGCCGTCAGTCCTAAGTCTGGTTGGACACACACCTCTAATATTTCCTATCCTGAGCTAACTTTCGCTAATCTTCTCACTTCCTTAAAACTAGAATAACCTACATCCTTAACTATATGTGAACAGTAATCTAATCTAGGTCTACCTCTACCCCTCCTAACTCCCGTGTCTACCTCTAATATGTCTCTGCCTAGACCTTCATGCCTGAGAAGGTGTCCTACCAACCTGTCTCCCATATTTCTTATTGACTTCCGTAGAGTCCTCTCTTGTCCTATTCTTTCTAATACCTCTTCATTTCTAACCTTTTCTACCCACATTAATCCTCATCATTCGCCTATAACACCACATTTTGAAGGCTTCTAACCTTTTCTTTTCCGCCACGCGCACTGTCCATGTTTCGCACCCGTGCAACGCCGTGCTCCAAACATACACCTTTAACAACCTTTTTCGAATTTATTAATTAACCGTTCGCGAGTGTAGTAGTGACTTCTTTTTATTGAAGGCGACTCGACCCTGCGCTATCCTCTGCTATATATCCCTACTACTTCTTCCGTCCTGACTTATCTGACTTCCTAAATAACGAAGATCATCTACTTCTTCTAATTTTTCCTCTCCTATCTTTATATTCGCTCCTTTCCTACTTTTTCTTCTCCTGCACACCAGTATTATTGTTTTAGTTTTTATTTTAGATATTATTTAAAGTGAAAAAAAAGTTTTTTTATTTTATAGATAATATTTAAATGTTAATAAATATCGAACTTGAGATGGTCGTATAAGCGAAGTTACTTTTTTTAAGAAGTAATCATCTTTTATTCATATGGAATCGCCAAGTCCGTTAGTATTAAGCACGACAGGCACGTAAAACTTCCGAGAAAAATTTTCTGAAGAACCAATTTTATTGGTAATATTGAAAATTATAGATTTAGCATTTCATTGAAGGAAGTTGGCGATCATAATATTACGTAACATTTTTCATTGGAATGACAGTTTTACTATATTTATATTACATACTACTTCGGTCAATAAACATTCACTTAGTTTCTTATTAGAAGAGAGTCTTATTGCTGTCACGTCTCCTACAGAGAAGAGAAAGAACTGCCTGGAATGTACAAATGACGGTATATCAGGGAACTTTTGTTGAGGCTCCATTTCATTATTGCTTCCACGGAAAAGTGGTTAATATAGAATGCGTTATGGCGTAAAGTGTAAGGATTTAAGGAATTACGAATAGTCAGTATTTTCCTAATATTAAAGTTCATAAATATATTCTTATAGCCGGTTAAAAAAATACTTCCTTAACACAAACTGCGTGCTGTTTAAATACGTAGGGTAAAGTCAGGAGAGTTGGACCTGCTTTTATAAAACTGGTTATAACTTATTTATTAAAAAAAAAATTATTCAATATGGGGAACAAGAACGTAAACATAAATATTACTTCCGCTACACATAAAACAAATATAATAATTTAAATTCAGAAAAAATTAAAAAATCAAAAATTTAAATTGGACCGTCTCTCCTGCTAAGTACAGGAGAGATGGACTACCTGGGTCAGGAGAGATGGAATTTACTTCTTCTTTCTATCCATTTTTCCAGCATTGATTCCACACTTCTCGCAAGTGTTACTGTATCGTACAACCCTCATGAAACCAGCGTCTACAGTTTATACGGCGTATCCAATGGTGCTTACTTTTTGTTACACTTCGCCACACTCAACACATTAATTTTTTAAATCATCTATAGTATCATCAGCGCTTATGGAATTACCTAAAACTACATCCCTCGATTCTGATGATGTTGACTCGCGCTTGGATTTCTTTATACGTTTTTCGGTTTTTGGTTTATCTTTGGTTGATTTTCTCTTTGCATCCTTTTGTCGTCTCATCTCTACATATTCTGGAGAAGTTAAATTATACTTCCTTTACTTTCTGTAGCGATGTGCCCTTCCAATGTCTTGGATGAGCGCTGGCAAAATCATAGGTAGGGAGAAAAAAGCTCATTATACTCTCAACTCATTAAACATACTTTTTCATACAGTACCTGCCGAAAGTTTTGTTCAATCATGAATAGTAGTGCGAGTCGAAAACAAGCGTTAAAGTCTTTAATATGTTTTCATATATAAATAAACATCTCGTTGATATTCTCAGTAGTAATGGGTACCAATAACAGCACATTTCAGCAATACAATTGTAGTGGATAAAATGGTCAATTTTTCCGTGCAGTACTGTACGGATTATACGCTCCTCACCGGTTAAGAGTTTGGCCGAGAGTTGTCTCCTTCCTTTTCTAGTCTAGTGCCGTTCTTTTCCACTTTGCACCGGTCGAACTGAAGGTCACATCGCTACAGAAAGTAAACGAAATATACCACGAGTCCTTTTTATAGTCGCAGGTATAGGTGAAATCTCAAGTGCTTTTCCTGATGTTAAGTCGTTGTCCTTGAGGCCTTATTCCCATCGATTTGAAGGATTCTGCCCCAGTTGAGAGGATGCTTCCTGATGAATTGTAGACTTATCCAGTTGTATACCAAACCCATCTTCAAATTCATTTCCTGGATGTTCAACAGATGCAACTGATGTGTCTGTTAGGTAGCCGTAATCTGGATTGCTTGCAAATTGATAGGCACCATTCCAGTTGCCCTAAATTTACCGTAGCCTGTTATTGCCCCAGATTCACCTAGTAGTTTGCCAAAATGTAATCGATTTAATTTTCTGCTTGGATTGGTCTTTATCATTCCCCTGTATGCACAAAATGATGTCATGCTGTTCAGTGTACTCCAATGTTTCAACATTACTCGTATGCGGTCGGGGGGGGGGGTTTCCCCCAACCAATATAAAAATATTTCGGTGGTTAGGTAAGATGACTTTTCTGACATTTTTATTCTTGAGCCGGGCGGGCGGCATTCCGTCGGCTCATTCATTCTTTAGATTCGTTCTTTTGAATATGGAATAGGGGGCAGATATACCCCTTCTGCGTTAAAGCAAGCAATTACGGTTATGGTTTCACCTTTTTCACTGGAACTTATAGGAGGAACACTTTTCGAACCTTTTTCCGCTAAAACCTGCCCAGCCTTCATCAGCTTGGTGAACTCCTTCGCAGTTAAGATGGCGTTTTTGAAGCTTGTATTTCGATAATTGTTCCAAGAAATCGCAGCACTTTTTTAACATTTCTGTGCATTTACTGAGATACATGTTTATTTATTGTAGAGATTTACTTATGACATTTATTTGAAAAAGTATATCATACTAAACGATCAATGAAACTAAGAAGCTGAAATCTTTTAATTGTAGAGTAGTAGTCTCATGAAAGACTTGAACATCAGTTTTCTGAGTTTCAATTGCCAAAGTAATTAAATCATCAAGAATGGCACTAATTTGATAACGGATTGCTTCAACAAAGCTTAATCTTGCATTCCAAAGTGTGTCACTGAGCTTTTTTATAGTATATAGTCCCAAGTGATCGGTTAGAATTTTCCATCGATGAACAGAAGCTGAAAACAATGTTAACTACCCCAAACGAAGTGACTGATTTTACAGACTGTAGAAGCCCCATATATTTCTGTCTTATGTGCTACCTTATATGGTTATTTTAAAGTGATATAGTTGAGGTGGTAAGATATGATTGGGTGTGCAATAGTGGAGAGGGACAAGTGCGTACGGTTGAGAATAGAAGAGAGGAAGAGACAGAAGTTGCGGATATACGATGGTGAACACCGGCGACTTCAAAGATTTTGGTTCACTAGCATCTAGTTTTTGTGAAGACGATAGTTACGACGATTTGTAATTTGATTGTTCTTTGTTTATCCTTGTTTAAATTAGTTAAATTTATTAAATTTTTCCCACTTCCCTACAATTAGAACAACCTACAACCTTAACTATTTGCGAACAATAATCTAATCCAGGTCTACCTCTACTCCTCTTAACTCCTGCTTCTGCCTCTAANAGATTCACCTAGTAGTTTGCCAAAA